CGAACCAAGGATCGGAAGGGCCATATTGCTGGAGTACGTCGACGTGCACGGAGAAATGGTCGAGCAACCAGCAAAATATCATATGCTGTACAGAAAGTGCGGGGGATTGCGAGCTCACGTATAACCCACCAATGCCAACAACCACACCAGCGCCAACAACGACGACAGCAACTTCTACCGCGTCACCACCAGCTACCGAAGACTTTTGGTAACATTCCGATTCTTGTGAGTACAACACCCCCTTCTACTTCTGCGGCACCGATGACATCCGCGCACGTCACCGCATCTCCAGTCACATCTCCCTCCTCCAACCTCCGCGACGGCATCAGTAGCGCCGGTAACGAGTTTACCCGTAGAAAGTTTGCCAGTGATAATCGAGCCAATAACGAGTGCGACAATAACGAGGCCATCAGTAACGGATTCGCCAGAAACTTCAGTCACGATTTCACCAGCGACAATTGCACTGGAGATAAGTTCACCAACAACCAAGTATTGTGCCAACGACAGAAGATCCTTTCAGTAACATCCCGATCCTTGCCGACACTCCGGCTCCTCCAACCTCTGCGACTGCAACAGCGGCGCCGATAACAACTTCACCGGCAACGAGCATACCAGCGACGGATGTATGTACCGGCCACAAGTACGCCTCCATTTTCAGTGCCGGCTGCCACTACGATACCGGTAACAGGTACACCACCTGCCAGTATCTTCAGCACCAGAGACAGGAGTGCCATTTTGGCGAGGTACCGATTATAGCGGATACAACGGCACCAGCCACGTCCGGAAAAGCAACTGAAGCTCCTACAGTCTCTGCGCCTATCTCCAATACACCGGTAGCCGGCGCACCGGTGACAGCACGACCGCCCCTGACATTCCCATTCTTGCCGATACAACAGCACCACCGACATCAACAAGTTTCCAACAATGTCACGTTGGGGCAAATTGATTGAGTTGCATTTTGCCACACCTGGGCGAGGCGTGGCGAATTAGCGGCGAAAAGAAAGCGAAAGTGAGCTGGAAGCAACTGAGCTTCTCGAGCTCCTACAGAACTAGATATAACTAACTGCGACATCGGGAAAATACGCCTTCGTCGGCAACTTGCACATCTCATGTTGCCGTTGCCTCCGCAACCAGCAATTTCCAACAATGTCACGTTTGGGCAAATTGATTGAGTTGCATTTTGCCACACCTGGGCGAGGCGTGGCGGCGGCCCCATCATGAGATTGCCGCGAGTTGAGCCGTGGGTGTGGTCGGGTTTTTGTTAGCACATGTAGCGTGAAAGTTCCGCAGACCCCTTGGCGGAAAGCACCGGATACCCCTCGAACGCGTTGGACAACCAACGACCCATAAGTTTGATGACAAGCCGATCGGCGCCCGCGTTGAGCAACGCTGTGGCGCCTCCAATTCGAACAGAATGAGTGGAAAATCGTGCCGGATCAAAGCCGGCTTTTCTTGCCGCATTTTTAATGATCGCAGCGATCTCCGTTGATGTGATTCCACCCTTTCTCACTGACAAGGCTGGATCGTTTGCACTCGTGCTGCAGCTTTATGGACCCATCGCGCTGCTCGAACCGGACAGATCAGCGGATCCTTTGACTTGCTGTGGTAACGCATTTCCTCACGGCCGAATTGGTTGTTTTTGGCTCCATTGAGAGAGATGCCAACTACCATGGCTCGCTTAGGTGCTACTAAGCGCTCGTGATTGTCGTAAAACCTAATTGCCTCGAGTCGAAGAATATAGTTGTGAAATTGCATAGATATTCAGAACGTCTCAGCAGGAAGAAATATCCGAGTAGAAGACCACCCCATAAAAGTTGGTGTCGAGTCTGCGTGAGGTCAAGTTCTTCGAAAATGAGACGAAGCAGGCGTGCTGTCAGAGGCTGCTGCTTAACGACAGGATTGGTAAATCGCCGAATTCCTCGAAGTAAAATCGCGTGACTGGCATTCACACTAGGGTCGTATCCTGCCGTATTGCGATGAAACCAGCGTACCGCACACAATTTCGAACAAATCGTTGAATATGTGTTTCCTTGCTGAGAGCGATTCATTCCGTACTGCCAGAGATAAATAGCGAACGCACCCAATTACTCCGCGTTCTTGTCTATCGAGTCCTTACTGAGCCACGGGTTAAGTCCCATTATTTTACATTAATACGTCCATTGAGACCACGCTCTTGTGTAATGTTTCCTCGACGACTGTGCTAAAGCCCCTGCGCGGAGTAATGCTCCCAAAGACGCGAGAGATTTCGCGAGTCGTGAGGGATCTGAGCCTGTTGCCAACCACAAGACATGTTAGAAAATTTTGTCGCCAGTAGTGGTGACTGCCACACCCTGCTGCCTGCGTCGGCCATGTCGTTGTCTACACCAGCCACGTGTTCGGCGGTGGAATAAAATCCATGCTTTACTTCGGACAGACTTAGAATGCGCAGGAGCATTTGCGCGAAACGATTGCGACTTGCTCTGCGGTTACTCCACGAAACAGCTGCTATGTTATCAATCCAGAATCGGACATGAGCGTCACTATCTTGACTCGGACGACTCCACAGACCCCCCACACCAATGCAGCAAACACAGCACTCATCAATTCACGGACGTTGATCCCGAAATCTCCGTCCCCTGATCTGTTGAATTCTTCAATAAGTTGAAGTTCCTCATAATTAAACTCCACTTGTAAGAACTGCTGTCTTGCTGGAAAAAGTGCGCACAAACCGCGATCACTAGCATCCATTTGGATGTGGTACTCGGGTTCATGTCGCCGTACAGAACGAGCGAGAGGGATGGCATTAAGAGCCCCTGTTGATAAGACTAACTCGAACCAGCGTAGGTCATCTTTAGCCCCAGCTGAAACTAAAATGACACCAAAGCGTGGTGCTCGACGGGTTAAATCAACAATTCGTTGGAAGAAAGGTGCAGCTGCTCGCACACATGTAACCACATGTCGGAGGCTACCCATGAGCTTCTGCAATTGAGTTCGGGTGGCCTTGAGCCGACGAGCCATTTCACGAACCCGACGAAGCGCTTTTCTTATCTTCTCCTCGGGCATTGATACTGTCAGCTTCTGCAGATCCCATTCCAGTCCTAATGCTCTGTCACGTGAAAACCAAGGAGAGAACGTTTTCTTGTTGCATGCGTTTGGCCCTAGAGCTGTTATCATTGCAGCTCTCAGTGCAAATTCCGCGTCACACAGCCGCGAACCGATGTCGGACTCGATGGCGATATGATCATCGCACCAAGCTCGTGAATCGACGTTTTGGCTTTGTTTAAGTGATTTATGTCCACTTGGGGTGGTGCTGAATTAGCGTATAAGTGCTTAATTCCTGCACCAGCGTACCAGTACGAAGCAGGAGAGTTTTTCCATCCAAAGGGACAATACAAATCGATCACCAAGATGTTGAGCTCTGTAAAAACGTCCCTGCAAACCGGCCAACCTCGTCTGCCGCAATTGGGATGTTCCTGAACGCACCATTTACGTCACCTGTTAACATCCTCTGCTGGAGGACGCGTAAAATGTCCACAGTACTATGAGGTCAATCCACAGAGATAGTATGAATCCACAGATCTGTGAGCCTAGTAAATAACACACTATACTAATCCATAGCTGAATTGACAAATCCAC